CGTGCAAAGTGTTCTGCGGAGGCATTGGACGTAGACCGAGTGAACCTTGGAGAATGGTCTGGGCGGCGCTTAGGTGCACAGGGAGCCCAGGAGAAGCATTGCTAGGGGAAGAAGGCACATCACAGAGTATGTGCTGCCTGCGGCTCTGAGCTGTGAGCACATCAAGGCACAGAGGGACAAGGTGTTGTCAGGTGCCCGAGCAGCTCCTGGGCACTGTGGAAGTCCCTGGGCTGACAATAGCCCCGTGAGGATGGGAACCGTTGCTTCTGCAAGACAGAATACAGGTCATCTGAGCAGATAGCATTCTAAGCACTTTGTGCATTTTAAATGATCAGGATTAAGTGAGTTCAAAGCACTTCAGAGCAAGCCAGGCAAACATGTGCGGGCTGTTACGCTTTCCATCTCCATTTAACCCCTCGATGCCGGTCCTTTTGGATGGGGGACCATTTTTCATAACAAATGCCTACCTACTAAGTGACCTGGAAAACTTCATTCTGTGTCCAGCACATTGACGCAGGCCTGTGATCACAGCTACTTAGGAGGCTGAGGCAGGCGGGTCACAAGTTTGAGGTCATCTAGACAACATGGCAAGATCCTGTCTCAAAATTTAAAAAATTAAAGGTGGGGAATGTAACTCAGGGGTACGGTGCTTGCTAGCATGTATAAGGCCCTGGGTTCAATCCCCAGTACTGGCCCCATCCAAAAAAAAAAAAATCATTCCAAAGAACATACTTTGGCATACACTCTCTGCTACTTTAAAATCTCCAGTTGATGGGCTTCCGAGTTCATTGGCTGTGGGTTTTCCAGGCCACAGCCTTGCAAACATTATCCCCGATTTATGAGGCATTGCTGAGAAGACCCCCTGCCCCAGGCATATTCCCCACCTGGTTTTGACAGTGTGTTAGACTCTGAAGGTCAGCAATGTCAGTGTGACCAGGCTGGGTGAATGCTGTGCTTGGGTCCCCTCCTGAGGTTGCAGACAAGATGTCACCTGAAGTGTCCATAGGGCCCTTGAGGATCCACGTCCCTGGTGACTCTGTTCCATGGCTGGCAAGTGCCCACGGGCTGTTGGCAGGAGGCCCCAGACCTGTTCCTTACTGGCCTCTCCATGGGGAGCTAAAGGAGTTTTCTTGTACAGACTTGATTATATTTTATCTAGAAAGAGAATCGGTAATTACATTGTTAAACATCTTGATTTACGATCAATGAGAACACATCCTGTCGCGATCCATCAGCTATTTATTTTATAAATTTGGACCACACAGAAAGAAGCCTTCTGACAACCTATGGAAATAACCCTTAGGCAATCCTTTCTGAATCTTAAGACCTGTATTATGTTTATCTTCAACTTTTTTTTTTGGGGGGGGGGGAGAGACCAGGGATTGAACCCAGGGGTGCTTAACCACTGAACCACATTCCCAGCCCTTTTTTATTTTAAGACAGGGTCTCGCTAACTTGCTTAGGGCCTCACTAAGTTGCTGAGGCTGACCCCCAACTTGGGATCCTCCTGCCTCAGTTTCCTGAACTGTTGGGATTACAGGCGTGCACCACTGCGCCTGGCTACCTTTCTAGTATTTTTAAACCCCCTGCAAAATATAAAATTATCCAGGCAGCAGCCACAAAGAGATGAACTCGGTGCTTCTGCGATTTATTTTCTTGTAAGAGAGCTCCTCAGCCTCGGTCCTTGACTTTTTGGCCTGGATTAATCTTGGTTGGGGGTGGGTGCTGTGTATCCCCTGTAGGAGAGCTCCACCTGTGGTCATGGCGTGGAGGAGTCTCTCCCGATGCCTGCTGTCCTGGGGCGGGGGTAGGAGGGAGGCAGAGACCTGATAATCTCGTGCTTTTATTTGAAAGTGCTTTTGCACCCAGTAGCACATGCGTCTGAATGGGAAGGTCATTTTGTTTGCCCCCAACAGAAAAATAGCCCGGTATTCTTGGCCACAGGGCAGGTGGCTCTTTTGTTGTCTGCTTGGCTTCTGTAGCCACATCCCCTTCTCTCCCCTAGGTCAGGACAGCCGAGCTTCTCTCCACCTCTCCTGCTTTCCTCTTGGGTCCTTAGGAAGGAGTAGACTCATCTCCAGAGAGCAGAGGAGGACAGTGGCACTGTTGGGTAGGTACTCCCGGGGAATGTGAAGTAGATGCCCAAACATACGCTCGTGCGTGCGCATTCAAAGCAGCACTGTTCCTAGGGGCCAGATGCTCATCACCTGCTGGACCATATGCAATCCATTGACGTAGCGGAATAGTATTCAGCCATTAAAAGGAATGATGTGTGCTACACCTGATGGAAGTGAACATGCTCTGTGAATGAAGGTAGACACAGAAGGTCATAGACCACGCAGTGTGGTTTGTACCGACAGGACGCGTCCTGCATGGGCAAGTCCAGGAAGTCAATCTGCTCGTTGCTATAACTCAGAGAAGGGAGTGGGAACAGCCTCCTTACCCAGGTAGAGGATTCCCTTCTGGAGTGGTGACAATATTTTGGAAATGGGTATAGGTTCTAGTCACGTAACATATATAAATGCCACTGAACTGTGCACTTTGAAATGGCTAGTTTTAGCTGGGCATGGTGGTGCATGCCTGTGACCTCAGTAGCTCGAGAGGCTGAAACAGGAGGATTGCAAGTTCAAAGCCAGCCTCGGCTACAGCATGGTGCTAATAACTCGGTGAGACCCCGTCTCTAAATAAAATACAAAATAGGGCTGGGGGATGGGCTTTCTGAGGTGACTTAAGTACCCCCTAGTTCAATCCCTGATGTGGTACACCATTCATTCACGTAGCATTCCTTGTGTATGCACCCCATGACCAGCCTATGCTGTAGAAATCTCACAGCCAGTGGTATGTTTTTTTCTTTACACATCCTGTTACTGGTGCATTATACTCACATGAAATGGTGGGATTTGTGGTTACACATTCTCATATGCAAACAACAGAACAATTCATGGGGCCAATACCTCTCCCCAGCAATGACAGCGTTGCAAAGGCAAAACCCACGGTGTACGTGTCACTTCTCAAATCTGCTGGTCCACTGTCTACAGAAGTTGGTCTTGGAACTGCACACCTGCCTCACAGCAAGCTGTAAGACGTGCGAGCGTGACTTAAAGGTCAAGGTGAATGCACCAGGGAAGGAGGGCTGGTGGATCAGGAGTTCGTCAATTATTTTGTCATATTTGATTACAGCCTTAATTGTTTCCAGAACTGTATCGGCCCAAGCTCTGTTTTGACCTACTTTTCGTGGGAAGGCAGGTACTTTCTGAGTTGCGAGCCCAGAGAGCCCAGGGTGTATGTCGGCCACACCAGGAGCCCAGGGCAACAGGACACGGAGACTTCTTTTTGTATCTGTCAGGTCGTGCCGTTTGGGAAAAAGAACATGTTGCAGTTATTAACATCATTTGTGCTTTACACGAATTCTTCACTTACATCAACATCTCTTGCTGGCACAGTTTACTAATAATGATTCTACTGAAAACGGAAGTCGGTCATGACCAGCTATCCGGGGGTTGGATTTCTCGTTTTCATGTATCGTTTCTATCAATGAGCTAATTAGTTCTGATGTCTGGCGTAACCACAGAATGTTATAAACCAGAGTCGCCATGCCCAATTTTTTTCTGTGTTGATCACACGTAGGAGATAAGTTAATTACACTTACAGAGTTTTGCAACATATATAAAAGATAATCTTCAACTTCAAGACTCTAATTTGTGAGTTACCATCTGTTGTGGACCAAAGAAAATAGGAATTTCATTTCTAAGGCTTTTTTTTTTTCCCTGAACAGCTTGTAATAAGAGCTGTCTGTATATTAATTACTTATTGAATTATTATGGATTGTAATGTTTTAATTTACAGGCAATTTGGAGCTTATTGTGGTGAAATCTGCTCGTATTTTGATACTTGATGACATTTAGTAATTTCATCATAAGGCTTACTCCCTGCCCACTCCCCACCCCTCATAATTTACAGCCCAATCCTGCAAACAGTGATTTGCTTTCTGCTTCCACTTACTCTAACAAGTACTGCTGTGTTTATCTCCACTAAAGATTTTTCTTTCCATAAATCAGTGGGTTTTTTAAAAAAAACTTTAGAAGCGAAATCAATATTCCTTTGTTGCTGCTTCATTCCTAAGCCTTTTAATTTCTGGAGTTGTGGATGTATTCTGTATAAATCTCATTACTCTTCTTGCCTGGTATTACTTTCATCTTGTATATTCTTGATTTCTTTTTTTTCTTTTTTTTAATGCGTTGTAATGAAACCTGAAGGCTCATGAACCTGCCTGTAGAATCTCTTTAATTTCCTTCCTTTAAACAGTATTACTATAAACACAACTCGGTGGGAATAATTTGCTTGAACTTCCTGAAAACAATTTACGGGGTTCCTTATAAATTCACTAATAAGAAACAGCTTGAGCATGCAGCCTCGTGTGGATTTGAATCGTGTTAAACCTGGTACCTTTTGATTCTGACTGAAAACTGTTGAGTAAGAATTTAAAGAAAATGACGGTCATTTAATTGTCTTGGTTACTTGGTTTTTAGATGATTCTGGATAATTTCAAGTCTCTAAGAGACTAGGTTCATTCCCAACCCAGGACAAGAAGTTTCTTACGGACAAAGGGGGAAATGGCCCATTTGTTTGTAGCAACTGAAAAATAAAAAGAGTTGTGCATAGTTTATCATCTGCACTAAGGTATTGTCCGAAAACAAAGATGGTTTGGTGGACAGTCATTTGCCATAAAATAACCAGCAGTAGCAATATCTGAGCTAAAAGTGGTTTTATCTAACTTGAGGCTCTTTTCTGCCATCATTTTTACATGCCTCACTGGCTATTTTAATTTCTCTATTGGGTTGTTTTGCTTTGCATCCAGCACCCTGTCATCCGAGCTCGGGATTAAGGCAGCAACCTTTAGACACCATGAAGGACAAACCTGAAGGCCTGGGGGTGGGGTGACAAGCCAGCACACCCCCAGAGATCTTTAAGTCTGCTTCTCCAATCTTGTTTCTCCCCAGGCTTGTGCCTGCAGACGGTCTGCGGAGTTTATGATCGGATGCCGGGCAGCCCACTGGTCCAAAGGTCTCCACATGACGTCACCATAACGGTAAGCAGCCCATGTGCCCTGGGTGCTAGTCCTGCTGTCCGAGATCCATTTGAGAAGCATTTCACCAAAGCTGAACCCTTGTTTTAAAGTGATCTCCCCCACCTCAAAAAAAAAGAACTTGCAGATATTCCTCTTTGCCGAAATTGAAGGTAGTAAGAACATCATCAAAGGCTTATAAGCTATGTGGTCAATTCTGCATGAGGAATTAGCCTTGTGATGCCTTCTAAGAATTTTGGATCCTGGACCGACTATCATAAACTTTGCTGAGTCTTGCCGTGAGAGGGAGACACCATTGAAAATCAATCTCTCTTGTCAACATTATGAATTATAATTAAGCTGAAGCATTAATTATAATTGGGCACTTGAGTATAGATTTTACTTGGCTCCTGTACCTTAATTCTATGCTTTATTAGTTTCTTAATATGATTTGTGTCTATCTGCAAATTGACTTGCTGGTTAACCTTGAAACTTATTAGAAAATCATGTAGGTCACTATGTATAAATCTGGTGACATGCCAAGCTTTCCAAGGTAGCAGAGAAAACAGTTACATGTGTACAGGTGTCGATTTGAAGGCCACACACACAATCAAAATTGACACCCAGAGAAGTTCTGTGAAGTTGTTATCTTGACACCTGTGGGTACCAGGGAGAGGTGCTGTTTTGATTGGGTATTAATGTGGTGCTTAGGAAACATAAGTGTCAGTTCAATAAATTAAATATGCATTGATCAGATTCCTACTATAAGACATTTGTAAGTGACTTGGAATTTTTTCTACTCTCCCATAGTGGGCAACTTGTAGATGGCCCTCTGTGATCATCCTCAGAAATGGGACTGTGTTGTTCCATTTAGTGGGAACTATAGTAGCTGTAGGTCTTGCATAAGGCTGGGAATAATCTGCAAATAACACATTAGGAAGTGAGGGCTTCTGACTGCACCGTTCCAACGCGTGCCTGTCAGTCATCTGTAGCATGCTCTGGTGATAGTGTCTTCTTGGATGTCAGTTTTAAAGTGCTTGGTATGCTCATGAGGAAGGTCCACATTTCGAAGTGTCACTGTTTACGTTATCAGTCAAGATGGATTTCAAACCAGGAAAAGACAAGATAATTGCTCTCTGATGTAGATGTGGGAAAATGCAGGAAAGACTAAGAGCAGGTATCAGTTTTATTAGTTCTTAGTGTGGTTGTTGGTGTTACTCTAAGGAAATATCTGAGACTGGTTGCTTAGAGGGAAAAGGGGTTTATATGGCTCGCAGTTTTAGCGGGTGAATGTCTAGGCAGTGCAGGGCCAACCCTGCAAGGGCTCCCTTAGCTCTGTGACCTCATGAAGTTCACACAAGAGGGAGCATATAGCAAGACAGGAAACAGAAAGGGCTGATCTTGTCACCTTCCACCAGCCTCTGCAGGCCAGATGACACGGGTAGATGACCCCACTTACGATGCTAACACTGGAAAGAGACTTTCTATGGCCCAGATGAATCCTATATATTTAGGTGGAAGATCAGTGTTTGTAGAGGTTTCATAACCAGCCCGTGTGTGTTCCTGAAATTCGAGGGTCTGGTGCACATCATGTGGAGTCTCTGTCCCCCCCCCCCCCTCTCTCTCTCTCTCTGCGAACTGATTCTGGCTAGAAAATCAGTTGTAATGATCTGGACATGGGAAATATTACCGCAAACACCCGAGTCATTAGAAAAACAGGACAAACTACTCTTGTGTGGTAGCAGTAGCTCTCAGTGTCAGTGTTCCCTGAGCAGACCTGCTTGAGAGGCATTGGCTTGGAATCTCGAATATGAGAACTTGCATCTAACTGTAGAGAGGTGAATGTTAAAGGGAACATACACTGTTCACCATGTCTGTCACCTGGCTCCGGAAACGAGCTTTATAACAGGTTTGCCTTTACTAGACGGAGCGTTTTGAAGAAGGTGTGCTTCTGGGCTGGCCTCCAAGCTCTTTCCTATCACTTAAACAGCTGCGAATGTGCACGGGGGTTTGCATGAGGTCTCAGCCAGCCATTCATTAACCCCCAAGGGCAGCCAGGCCTAGAGAAGACCCTTTGTGAGTGCCTCTTTGGGAGGTGTTGTTATGCCCCAAAGAGCAGAGTTCTTCTCCCAGCAGACGACTTGTTGGGGGCTTTCCCAACCCTGTGGTTTCATATTGCACCGAGTCTCACACAAAGATATCGACAGGTTTCAATTATTTATTTACTACAAATAAAAAACAATTTAGGTTCATTGTAGAAAATACAGACAGTGCGAGTGCACACACACAGGTTAAGTCCGACACAATTCCACCCCTAGAGATAACTGTAAGCACATTTTGAAGCGTGTGTGTGTGTGTGTGCAAAATTTAGCCCTGTGCATGGTCCACTCAAAGCCGTTATTTTGCTAACTTGTAAATGGCCATAATAAATATGGCATAAATAGCCATATTTATGTCAGAATTGTGACAGGTCCTAGAAAACATTTAGCACTTTATGCTTGCTAAGTATGAAGCATTGAGTACATGTGACATGTTGCTTTTTAAAATCATTTTAATGGCTATGTGGTAGTTCCCATGTTTTTACCACAGTTTATTTAACCACGTCATCTTTGGGTAAAGAGCTACATACTGGCTTCAACACATAGGAGGAAAAGATGTGCAGGGTCATAGGGGAAGGAGACACATATGACTTGTCTTGAGAGAGGCGTCTCCACAAACGCCATTGGCCTGTGCTAGTTTTTTTTTTTCTTTCTTTCTGTTGTTGAAGCAGCACAGAGAGTGTGTTGTGGCTTTAACTGCAAGTAGAAGGGGTTCTTTTCCCCCCTTTTTGCGTAATCACAGTTCCAAAGACCTCAAATCAACATAATTGAAGGTGTCTCTCATCAAAAACTGGGTCAGGCAAGAAAATAAACACGGTTGCTCTAATTAAGAACTCCCTGGCCTTCGCCCTTCTCTGGGGCGAGGAGGATCTGTGAACCGTGCAAAAGCTCCCTTTTAGTTTGGACGCCGGGAGGGGTTGGAAAAGATCCACCCGAGTTCTCAGAAGTGCAGGGCTGGAAGCCTTTCCGGAAACTGCTTCAGAGTTAGAGAGGCTTGGGTTTCCGGCTGCACATTCTAGAAGGATGCCCGGGCGCAGGCCTCTTTGATGGAATATGTAGGCACGGCCTTGCCTGGCTGACTGTCCCTCGTCAACTGGTAGGGCTGAGGGGACCTGTGGGGACGCGACGTGTGCTGCCCTGGTCCAACGTGCGGTGGGTCCTGCTCTGGGTCTTCATCTCTAGCCGATACCCTGACAGAGCCAGTGAGTTCGGAATAGGTAGGAGCCCTCGGCCTGATGAACCTCTAATTGGTCCATACTGCAACTGTCACGGGCATCTGTGGCTTCATGCCACTTGTCCACAGAGAATCATCTTTGACAGAGAAGACGGAGGTGGCCTCCTCTCTGCAAACATGCTTGATGCTTCACCCTGAATGCCATCACAGAAGTTGGTCCTCTTGCCCCGAGACAAGGGGGGGGCATGAGGCTTGTCATTAAAAGTGAGATCAGCCAGGTGTGGTGGCATACACCTATAATCTCAGCAACTGAGGAGGTTGAGGCAGGAGGATCTCAAGTTTGAGGTCAGCCTGGGCAACTTAGTGAGACCCTGTCTCAAAATTTTGAAAAGGACTGACTGTGCAGCTCAGTGATGAAACACTTGCCTAGCATGTGTGAGGCTCCAGGTTCAAAGCTTGGGACCACCACCACCAAAAAAAGGGGGGGGGGTATTTTTATAAAACACCCTTCCCTGTATGCACACACACAAAAAAAAAACTCCTGAACTTTTTCTCTGTCTAACCTTGCTTCTTGCAAATTCAGAGGTCTTGTCCCCATCAGTCAAGAATTTAGCTCTTCTATGAACCTTCCTTTCTTGGAAGACTGCCACTTACTTCCTCAGGATACCTTCGGGGACAGTGGGGAACTTTACATGACTTGTACAGACACCTTATTAAGCTTAATGAGCTGTATATCACAGACAAAATCTTTTTTTTTTGTACTGGGGATTGAACTCGGGGGCGCTCGACCACTGAGCCACATCCCCAGCCCTATGTTGTATTTTATTTAGAGACAGGGTCTCACTGAGTTGCTTAGCGCCTCAACTGTTGCTGAGCCTGGCTTTGAACTTGCAATCCTCCTGCCTCAGCCTCCCAAGCCACTGGGATTGGAGGTGTGTGACACTGTGCCTGGCCAGAGACAGAATCTTGGAATTTGTTGGTTTTTGGTTAGTGTTGCCAATTACCATGGCTTAACTATAGTAGGTGCCCAGTAATTTTTCTATCTCCTTGGATCTCATTTTTCTTAGTCACAGAAAAAGTGGGGCAGAATTTTTTTTCTTTTTCATCAAGCGTGAGTAAGTAGGTGCTCATGTGATAGGAAGAGCTGGTTCCCAAAGTCATCTCATTCTCTGCGTAGAAATTATATGTTTAAAGGAGTTTGTTAAAAACGATATGCAGTATTGGTGATACTTAAATAAAGCTCACAGGAGGACTTGGAGTCATTATAATATCTGCCATCTCTGACACCTCAAACCAAAGCCAACCACTGTCCCATTGACCCTCAGCTCAAAAATCTGGATCTTTGATGAAGAAAATCAAAAGTGAGGAGGGGGCTGGGGGATTCACTTCTTGGTTGACATGGGATCGGCCTTTGGCGGAGGCAGCATGGTAGCAATGGCCCCTCTTAAAATAGGGGGTGGAAAACATGATGGAGCCATGTCAGGAATGTCAACCCTGGGACCTCAATTCCAGGGGGTCCTTGCCAGGGGGGGGGTTAGAAAGTGCTGACCGGCAAAAGTGCTTTTTGTCAGGGGACACGAGGCAGGCCCAGGAGCATGTCCTGTGGCCTCAGCCTGCTGTTTCCTCCTTCAGGTTAAACCATTGGTTGCTCAGGGTTGTTCTGTGTTCCTGACCCTAAGGGTAGAAATTATAAAAGGCGGACTTGGAGGAGGTAGAATAGTCACCCCCAGAGACCCAGTGGGTCACTGGCACCTGGGAATGCAGGTCAAGGCATGCGGAGTTAGTCCACGGATGCAGTTTCTCTGCTGTGAGATCCTGACTCTGCCTCGGTCTCCTCCTCGTTTGTAGCTTGCAGAAAAGTGAGACCAGACGCTCTCCAAGGTTGGTCATCCCAACTGCTCTGACCCTTGCAGGCAGGGTGACATCTGCCCTCCCCTGCATGGTGCTGGTTTATCTTTCCAACTCGGTTACCTTCCAGGGACTTCCAGGTTGACTGCAGTTTGACTGGTAGGCCCGCTGACATGGTTCTGCCCTGTCCCGAAGTTCTTAGGGCAGGGAGAGGCTGAAAGCACAGAATTGTACTCCTGTCTCCATCGCTACCTGTTAAGCGGTCTTAAACCACAGAATCTCCAGTTGTGGAACAAGGAATTGCCACACTTCAGTTCATGCTGTGGATCAGTAATTTCTGTTTCTTTTATTGTTTATTTGGGGCAAAGGGTCAGAAATTCTGTAGAAGTTCAACCTGTTAAAAAAAAAAAAAAAAAAAAAAGTTTTGCTTTTGTCTGCATAATAACTCATGTGATATTGCAGCAGGGTGCAGAGATCAGCTGACAGTCACACACGATTACTTTCTATATTTTAATGATAGTCTTCAAATGAAATTTGAAAAATTCCTCGTTTACCATCTCTGATGAATGCGTGGCACCCCAGAGGCTGATGGAGACGTCTGTGATACATTTGCGTCGGGATGGGTAGTGGCAAGCTGTTTCTCACGTTCATCCTTGAGGCCCTACTAAGCCTGAGAGACGCCTGCCTGTCTGTTGTTTGCTCATTAGGAGTTGATGATACACCAACCAGAGGGCTGCACCCTGGCAGGATGTAAAAATTCTGAAGGAACAGGTTTGCCTCTGCACCGATTCCTCCTCAGCAGTGTGACGCTCTTGCCAGAGTCTGTACGGAGCTCCCATGTTCTGTCAGATGGTTTTTGTTCTTTAATTTCTTCCCCTTAAATAATATTTCACTTTTTTATCGGGGCATATACTCTGATTTCACAGAGTCTAACTTGGCTTCCTAAGGCGATGTCTTCGGAGTAAACTCCCCAGACATCAAGCAGAGATTGGGACACATTTGTATTTTGACTGACAGTTTTCTTTACACCCTGTCCACAAGTACAGAAATGTCACCAATGAAATCAAAGGCAATAAGCACTTTTTATCTGTTTTGCAACTGATATATAAAAACAAACCATATTAATGGGGTACCATGAATTTTTTTTTGGGGGGGGGGGGTGTGGAGTACCAGGGATTGAACTAAGGGGCACTCGACCACTGAGCCACATCCCCAACCCTATTTTGTATTTTGAGACAGGCTTTCACAGGGTTGCTTAGGGTCTCGCTTTTCCTGAGGCTGGCTTGGAACTCGGGATCCTCCTGCCTCAGCCTCCTGAGTCACTGGGAGTACAGGCGTGCACCACCATGCCTCGCCCATGGAATGTTTTGGTATATGTGTTTACTGCGTAATGTTTAAAGCAGGTTAAACTTGTGTCTCCTCAAATATTTATCATTGTTTATGGTGAAACCTTTCAACATGCTTTCTTGTAGCTTTTGGAAACATACACTGCATTATTATCTGCAGTCACGCTGCTGTGCATGGGCACCTCAGAACTTGTCAGTGTAAATTATACCCATTAATCAGCCCTTCCCACCCTGCTGTCCCTGGCCTCTGGTCATCACAGCTGTGCTATCGAGTCCCATGCAATCAACTTTTAGATAGCGCCTCTCCGTGAGACCAGTTGGTACTTGACTCCCTGTGCCTGGGTTATTTTCATTCAACCTGATGGTCTTCAGTTCAATCCATGTTGTAGCAAATGGCAGGGTTCCATTGTTAACGGCTGAATAGTATTTTATTTTCCCTCACCAGTGGAAGGACATTTGGGTTGTTGGACTTTTGGCTATCGGAAGTAGTGCTTCACTAAACACAGGGGTGTGGGTGTCCCGTTCACATACTGATTTCATTCCTGGTGGTGGTACATGTCCAATACTGATTATATTTTTTAATTTCTGAGGAACTTCCGTACTGGTTTCCGCCGTGGCTGTACCAGCCAGTGTGCAAGGGTTCCCTTTTCTCCCCATTTTCGCCAGCACTTGTTGGAATAGAAGCATTTGGGCTTAGCTTGGGTTGGTTTGCATAAAACCTGACATCAGACGTTAACTGCCGTCGTGTGTATGAGAGCGTGGGGGGTGTTTTCAGTCCTCTCCAAAAGAATGAGAGTTTTGACTGACGGCTTGTCGCTTCATTTCTCCTCGCAGAGGGTGGCTCCCGCTTTGTAAAGACCTCATCGCCGCGAGGTGAGGCTAAGATGAGCATTACGAGTGACGAGGTGAACTTTCTGGTGTATCGGTACCTCCAGGAATCAGGTAAGGGGTTTGGTTCTCTGTCGGGAGGAAATTCGCCTTCAATGTGCCGTGGGTGGAATGCCCAGCCGTTGGCGGAAGGGTAACAAGGAGGGCTAACGGTGCTCTTTGTGAGAGAGTTAGTGGGGAGGAGAGAAGGTCCTGGGGCCATCTCATTCCCAGGCTGGAATGCGATGCTATCCCCATGATGTTTTTGTTCAGGTGAAATGAGACCCAAGTGAACCTCGAGAACTTGTGATAAATATGGAGTGGGTCAGGAGCAGTTTGTGCCCCTGGTCTCCACTATGGTGAGAACATTGACCCACTGGGGTGTTGATTTGAACCTTGTAGATCTGACACCAGAGACTTATGGAGCGAAAGAGGAAGGGCCCAGGGTCCTTCAGGATGGGATGCCCCTCCAAAGACCTAGCTTCCTCCCACTGGGGCCCCCCCTTCTTCAACACTCCACCACCTTACCTAGTATGTGGGCCTTTGGAGACATCCTAGATCTAGATGACAGCATGATCCTCTGCTTAACAATGTGGTCACCTCCCTCAAATGCACCCTTAGTTGAAAATGCACTTCATACCTATAGCCTAAGCTACTGAACACCATAGCTTAGCCTAGCCAATCTGAATGCTGTAACCTGTTTGCTTATATTATATGGTGGTCGCATCCTGATAAACTCATCAAAAGTAGAAAACATCCTGACCTGAAACTGCATGGACTGTACCTGGCCTGCAAGCCCCCCCTAGCTCAGACATTGCATGTGTACCTACCGATCCTGGGGCTGCCCGGAGGTGCCGCATCTGAGAATCAGAAGTGCAGCAAGAACTCAAGATCCCAGGGCAAAGTCTGAAACACAGTTTCTCCTGAATGTGTAAGGCGCGTGTGCTGTTGTCAAGGTCCAAAGATAAGTCGAACCATTGTCAGCCCGGAACCGTCTGTGCTAGGTTTAAGGAGGAACCAGCTGATCGGCACCTGGACCCAGGCTGAAAGAGAAAATGGGCAGGCATCGATGCAAAGAAAATGGCTCAAACCCTGAGCATATTACGTAGCGTCGGTTTTTGAGCCTCGGTTTCCCCTAGAAAAGTGGTTCTCCCAGGCAAAAGTGATAGTTGGTGGGACATGTAGCATGTTTTAAATGAAATCCCTCTCTCATGCAAGCTTGGAACTTTTTATTTGGAATCCCAGCTAGCACTGTTCATGGTGATGCATGTTCTTGGTACATATTTGAGCGTTTGGCTCGGCTGTTGCCAGAGCATGGTATCAGAAAGTGATATAGAAACAAAGTATACTGCCTGAGCTGTGGGGACCACACTCTCACACCTCAGAACTTGCAAGAGTTGTCCACCTGGAGGACAGGTGTTCTCCTATCACAGAACTCAGACCCCCTGAGCTGCCTGCAGGTGAGAAACCCCACGTACCGTGTCCTGCTTCCCTCGTGGTACTTGCATGATACTTTGCATCTAGAAATATCTCTGTGCGAGGGTATATTGATGGTAGGGACAGGGAGTGTGTGACAACAAGCCGAGTTTGTGAATGTCAGGCAGGAAAGAGAGTCTGTTACCTGGGGGCAGCTGCTGTGCTGGTGGTTGGCCCCACGTCCGGGGCAGGAGCGCTTCGCGCCCTCTTTCCGTAAACACGGAGATCTCCCTCCCTCCTGCAGGAAGGCGGGCCTCCTCGTGTCGTGTTTGTTTACACTTCTCCTGTTTATTTTTATAAAGCTTCTATGACCAGGCAGCAAGGGAACCGAGACTGGGACAGAGCAGGGTGTCCAGAATTTCCCAAGTGTCACTGCTGTATAATGTCTGTTGAATTCTTTTCCTAATTATTCACCAACATCCAAGTTACTTTCCAGTAGGTGTGGCCCGTGTTTAAGGAGAGATTGCTTTGATGGAATTCTTGTGTGTATTCTGGAATTTTTTTTAAATGCACCACAAGGAAGAAGCGGGAGAAGAAATGGCTGGTGTTTAAGTGGACATTATTGGGTTGGTTGTCTGTTTATCTCAAATTCTAAGGTTTAGTTAAGCCCATAGTTGATGATCCTCCACCAACTTGAAGAGCACCTTCTCCCCCACCTGTGAGAAGAAAATCATTTCCTTGATCGGCTCCCCCTCAGACACCTGAGCGCACGCTCGCCTTCAATACCACCACACGCGTTAAGAATCAGTCTTGCCTCCCAGTAAGTGGTCCTCGGCTCCTCCAGAGCCACTGAACTGCTCAGGTCCTGCCCATCTGCAGGATGAACCAGGTGCCATTTCTGTCCACCACCCTTCTCCTCCATCTTCTCTTTCCTTCCCATTCCCCAAATATCCATGGTGTCATTTGGGATGATTTAGGCTGCAAGGAAGAGAGGATTCCATGTCATGGAGCATACACTTCCCAGCAAGGAAGCAGGATATTGAAGGCTGCTTTTTTTTTCGAGAGGGCCTTGCCTCTCCAGAGCGCTCAGTCCATGTTCTTGATGTGCAGCACCTCCCCGCAGCACATTCCCAGCAGTCTGAAAGAGGAACGGGGTTAAGAAGCAAGACCTTTAGGTGAAATGGCAGCGGCATTTGAACTAGCAGCTCCAGTACCAGAGAGGCTGCGCTTGGTTTTGCTCAAGTCACGGCACCCTGGCTTGCTCGGTGAGGGTCTCGCTGCCTCTGGGCGCTGTTTGTGAAGCCCACGGTGGCACTGTGTCTTAGCCATGAGCTCTCTTGACTGTCCTGGGAAGAGAGAAGCCAGGGAGCAAGGCTTGTGAGTGTGTGTGTGTCTGTCCGTGTGCATGGGCTGGTGTCAATCCTGGGGGAATCGCAATTTTTCTTCTCTGGCTTGATTCTGAAAGTGGAAGTCCATTTCCAGCTTGGTATGAAAAGAGGGACATTTTAGCAAGGGAGGCCCTGTGGACATCTGAAGTGTTTCCTCCAGGGCTTCCTCCCAGCATCCAAATCCTACAGGAAATGTGTTCTCCCTGACCCACGTTCCTAACGTGAGGCAATTTGCACCAACATAAATGGTGATCGGAGCTGTGTGGGCCCAGCCACAGAGGAGTTCATTGAGCCGGGAAGGCGTTGCTTGCAGGGTAAGCAGGTGACCTCGATGCAGGGGTGAGGGAGGCAGGTCTGAAGGGAGTCCTTCAAGGACAAGGTGCAGTCTGAGGAGGAAAGTGGGAAGCACCCTTGAGCAAAGGGAGGATGGTGACAGCCAGGTGACAGGGGTGTGAAGAGCGTCACGCCTGCCTTCTCGGCTCAGTTGACACCAGGACGGTTTTCACGTAAGCAAGGGGTTTGCCAAGGCTCTGAGCACAGCCAGATGATTGGGTTTGCTGATCCTGGGGAAGAGAAAAGCCAGGGTTTCCGCTGTGTCCTGCACACAGGGCCAGCTCTGTGCTCAGTGGACGGAAGATGATGTCGTGGGGAGCAGGTCGTTCTGCAGAGGAGAGAAGGCCTGGGAGTTTGGAGCCGGATCTTCCACAGTAGCATATTGAACTGACTGGTGGCTCTTGGTTGAAGGCCTCGGGGAAGACAGACCTGACCCCTCCTTGGTGGTGGTAATGGCTTCCTCCCTTTTCAATTCCTGAACAATTAAGCCATGGTTGACATGTACCCAGTGTACCGTTTTTTGGAGTGTAGGTCTGTAGATCTTGCAAAACGTAGATAGGTCACGAGACCAACCAAGACAGAGATTCTGTTGCTCTTCCCCAATTTTCCCAGGTTCCTGAGTCATCCACGCCAGCCCCAGCCAGCCATCATCGTTTTCTGTCCGTCAGGTTCTGCTTCTGTAGCAATGCTGTGGGCATGGAGTCGCAGGGTACGTAGTCATAGTCTCCTTCCTTCAGTGCAGGGCCCTTGAGGCTTGTTTGTGCGGTTGCATGTGTCAGCCGTGTGTGGATTCTTTATGACTAAGTAATATTCCCTTTTGAAGGCTGTATGACAGTCTGCTTGTCCATCCCCTGTTGAGGAACATTGAGTTCTTTCTAGGTTTCGGTGATTGCAGAGTGAAGCTACTAGAAACATTTGCATGTAAGGTTTTCTGTGTGGACAGAGGTTTTTGTTTACCTTGAGGAAGTGCCTAGGAGTGGGATTGCTGGGTCCTGTGGTAGGTGTAGGTTTAGCCTTATCAGAAGCCACTGGGTGGTTTTTTCATCTAAGGCAGAAGCAAGACGCTTTCTAAACACGGAGGTTTATAGAAGGGACAGGAGAGGCGCCCTGAAGAGTAGGTAAAAGGACTTTTATCCAGCACTTGTATTTGTAGCATATTGATGACATCTGGTACTTCCTCTTTGGATTCTGAATCGGGGTCCTAGCTTCCACACAGTGACCAGTTGAACTTTCCGCACCAAAGAAAAACTGGCCAGGCGTGATGGCGCACTCCTGTAATCCCAGCTGCTCAGGAGGCTGAGGCAGGAGGACTGCAAGCCTGAGGTCAGCCTCTGCAACCTAGTGAGACCCTGCCTCAAAATAAAAAGGGCCGGGGGTGTGGCTGAGTGTAGAGGGCTTGCCAAGCATGTGCAAGGCCTGGGTTTGCTGCAGCCGGCCCAGCTGTTTGGATCAGCCAGAACATCAGGCTGGGTTCGGCACACCACTAGGAGCACTCGGGAATAGACCCCGTGAAGGTTCTGGTAACAACGCCAGTGAAAATCAACCAGTGAGAAATGGAGTTTCACTGAGGCTTTGCCCAGTGCAGAGAGGTTGCCCACTTAGACGCTCCAACAGCTGTCACTTAAACATTTTGGATACTGAAAGAGTTGGCCACCATGATAATGGAGTTCATTTCTTATATATATGGTAAGTCACTCCGAGGCTGACCCACCTTCTTCGCTGTGATAATCTGAAGACCCTCCGTAGGACTGACCGCAGCACCCGTGTTGGACTGCGTGTTCGGATCTGTCGTGATTCTCAGCGAAGAGGCCATTCGTTGTGCGTCTTTATCGCCTGCATTGACGTCACCATCTTCACATTATTTGGAACCGGCTATTGTTCGTTTTTAAGAGCAAATGCCTACACCCTGGACACATGCCGTGTTCCTCAAGAGCTGAT